TTTTTAAGCAAAGCTAGCTTACTGTTCAGCACATCCAGTGCTGCATTGCTTCAGAGAGTACTTGGGTACTTCTTGTGGTTTTCCTGGCTTTACTTTGCCCAGCTCCTTCATCTGCCAGTGGATTCTCAGCAGCCGAGTTAAATCAGGACAATAAAGGAAATTAGAGCAAGAAAAGATGTCTGTGCTAAATGGGCTGAGTTTAGGGCATGGGTAATCCTTTATCACCTAATTCCCCATTGACTTCAAGGAGCTGTTGTCAGACATCAGGCAGCTTTTCTATTGGACTGTGCTTTGTGATCCATATTCTGTTTATTGTCTCACTGAGCAGGTAACTGTTCTGCTAAAGACAGCTGAACTACTTATTTTGAATAAAAGATAACAGTGGGTTGTCAGTCCAGCATATAGATTAGTGCAAAACTTAGTCTCTAGTCTTTTTTTTTTAATTACTTTTATTTCTCTGCTGCTGTAACATGTACAGAATATTTTCTTTAGTAATTAAACTTTACTAATAGTAAGGCATTAAAAACTCAGGTGCCTTGAACTAAGTGGTTTGTGTGTGTGCTAGGTATTGTACAGACAGATGAAAGACATTGCAGAAAAAGGAATTAAGCAGGCTATCTCTAAAATAGTCTGTCTCTTTCTTGCCTTGCTTAGAGGACAGTTAGAAGCCATGTTTCTATTGGAGGGCAGCATTGGGAGAGAATCTCAAAAGTTTGTTGTACCCCTGCAACAATGCAGGAGTAAAGGAAAGTAGTCCTTCAGCTGCGTAAGCAGCCAAATGTCTGTTCTTTATGCTAGGATAGATGGGCTTGACTGGTTTATCCTACTTTTGGATTGATTTTAATTGTTTATGGGACAAAAAGTACTTACACCTTAATGACTCTTTAAATTGGCAGTCCTTTTTGTTCCTTGGTCTTCTCAAGGACTCTGAAAATGTAATAAAACAAATTGCCTGCATGGTCTGCTTTTGTTTTGCTACCCATGAAAAACCCAAGGAAGATCATCTACCCAGCTGCCAGTAATCAGTCTCAACTGCATGCTGCATCGCTAGGTGTGACTCTTGCCTCCTACAGTGGAAAAATCAGTTCTTCAGGGTACATTTGACAGCAGCGATGCTTCTCTGAGACCTTTGGTTTTTCCTAGTGAAAAGCTGGCATGGATTGATAGGCTGTTTTGATAATGTGACAAATGTACTAATGACATGTACTCTTTGTAACTTAAGCCTGTTCCCCTTGACAACAGGACTTCGGCTTTCATTCATCAAAACAGAAGTGTGAATGTGAAACATAAAAAGCACTCACTTTTTTTTTTTTTTCTGGGGGAGCATCTGATTGTAGAATTCAGAGTGGGGCAGAACATGATCTAAAGTAACATGGAAAATCTTTGCATCATTAATTACAGTAATACTACACACTCTTAAAAATGTCCCATGCTGCCCCAGTCTATTTAGATTTTACAAAAAAAAGTTGGTCACAAATGTAAACCTAAATGTTCATCTTATTTTATTCATCCTATTGATGTCAGTAGGCTTCCTTGTATAAAAAATTGCAGCATCCATATACTACTTAAATTCAGCATTGCTTCAAAGGCTTATGATTCTGTTACCTCAAAACAAAACTATTTTTGAGGGCAATAGTGACAACTAAATGGTTTTATCAGTAACTGGAGCACAGAACACAATAGCAAACTTTTAATTTGAGGTGTCTACAGTGGCATTTCAAAAGCATGCAAATGACTTTTACACAATTCTCGTGAACTTCAAACTACAGACTCCAAGTGATAATGTAGCTGAAACAGCTTTGTTTTTCTTCCCAAACCCTGATGTTGATTAAACCAGTCAGTGTTACTTGTTTGGTCAATACCAGACTTCCAACTGTCTTGTCTGAGCCTTTAATATTCTTGCAGCAATTGTATTGGAGGTCCTGGTTCCCTCAGCACAAATATGCTGTGCATAGAATCTCAGTTTCTGGTGTAACTGAAGGAATAAAAAAAAGGAATAGTATATTCCGATATCTTTAAATTAGGAAAATTGGGGAACTGGAAAAGGACACACTGCATTTTAAAAACACCTTAAACTTGTTCTTTCCCAGTTTGCTTCTGATCAATTTCATCTGATGGAATGAACTAACTTCTGTTGTCTTCTCCAGATTTCAGTTTAAAAATAGGGAAGTGCTTGGTGAACTTGGAAGCAAAGTGCTTAGGTTGAGGTAGAATTGGGAAAGAAAATGTTATCAAGTTGCTTGTATGTTGCTTTGGAAAGTAGCTCATATTCAAATTTTACCGTTTATTTGAAGCAAAACTTCTGAGTTGATTTCTCTCCCTCCATTCCCAACTCAGTTTTGGAGCCTTTCTTCAACTTACTGAGCTACATTTATACTTGGTGTGTCCAATCTGCTGCAGTGGCTGCTCTTATCTAACATTAAAGCTAGGAACTAGTGTATTGGAAAGCAGAAGGGGGAAAATAATAAATAACTAGTAATCTAAATCACTAAATTTAGCTGTTGTAAGTTATTTTTAACTTTAAAAAAATAATTATCTTGGTCAAGTCAAATAGCTTTGCCCTATGTTGGTATGATACCTTCCCAACACTGCTGTGCTGGTAGTCTGCTCTTTAGACTATAGTCTGACCTTTTAAAATTTCCAAGGTTGAGTGGGAAGAAAGAAGGAACTGGACCTTTTGAAAGCCAGAATGACAGATCTTGCCCTTAGTTTCCTGGGCATGCAGTGGTTTCTCCTACTTCAGCTAGCATATTCCTTCAATTTCTGTATTGGGCTGTGACATCACCTTGGGGGGTAGGGGGGGTGGGGAACAAAGGGTTAACTTTTCTCTCAAATTTCATTTTTCTTAACCAGTTCTAAATTCAGGTGACAAGAAGATTCATGAACATGTGTACAGACTCCTGAATTTTAAGGGCTTTTTCACTGACAGTGTGCCCACAATCCTTTCCTGTTCTTCATATGATGGATGAATTTTGTTTTTCATGATTATGCTCTTTTATGGTGAGGTGGCTGCTATATTACTTTTAATGCATTTCATATCCATGATACCTGAACAGGCTCAAAGATGGAAAATCCATTTTTAAATGTGTTTAAAAGACATTTAAGCTGCTAATAGTACAGAAAATTGTCAGGTTTTTAATACGCTGGAGACACTGTGGATAGAATTGGTATCCTAAATGGATAGCAAGATCTTACTTCCTTTTGAAATAATTTTCTAGTGCAACACGCATTTTTATTGTTTTTAGATTTGGTAAGAATACTCCGAAGCCATATGATATCCTACTGTCTTGTCAATTGGTCTGTGTTGGTAAAGGAGGACTCTTACAGAGGCAATGGAAGGACAACTGAAGCAAGAATCAATTGTGGAATATATGCCCTCAAGAACAAAGAGGAAAAATAACTACAGAGTACTCTTTAAGTAGCTATGGATTTGGATTTTGCAGCAGGGATGTTCTTTAAGCTGTACTGGAAACATTACTGGTGATTGTTGCTAGCTCTTGAACAAGGAGTAGCTGGAAGATAGGTCATTTTTGGCTTGGTAAACCAACAGTGAATTTAAGAAGACTTGTTACTTTACTGCAAACTTAAGAAAACACTGTTGCTTTATTACTTGATAGATCTAATTCTGGGAATCAAATCTGATATTGGAAGTTTTTTATGAAAGAAGGGTGAATAGACTTGAGATTCTGTTTTTCTGTACAAAATGACAGCACATTGTAGCTACTGATGAAAATTGAGTCATTCTAGAGACTACTGCTTTTTCAGTAGGCTGGTAAATACAATTTAGAAAAAGGTGCAGCTTTGCTCAGCTATCTTGACTGTGAAAATGTATGCTCTCTTCTAACCCCATGGGAATTATTTACGTTAATCACTTGGTTACAGTGTACTTCTCCTAGCCTTTCGGTGACCTTAGCTAATGAGGCCCTCCAAGACAGGAAGGAACAAAGAGAAATTCTGAAGCAGCAAGGGCAAAGGTGGTGTTGCCCAAGGGTTTTTAATGTCTTCCTTTTTGTAGCATGTGCATTTAGCTTCCATACTGTCCTGGTTTCAGCTGGGACAGAGTTAATTGTCATCCTAGTAGCTGGTACAGTGCTGTGTTTTGAGTTCAGTATATGAAGAATGTTGATAACACTGATGTTTTCAGTTGTTGCTAAGTAGTGTTTAGACTAAGTCAAGGATTTTTCAGCTTCTCATGCCCAGCCAGCGAGAAAGCTGGAGGGGCACAAGAAGTTGGGATGGGACCCAGCCAGGGCAGCTGACCCAAAGTGGCCAACAGGGTATTCCAGACCATGTGACGTCACATCTAGTATAGAAACTGGGGGGAATGGGGGCGGGGGACAGTGGCTCGGGGACTAATGGGGTGTCGATTGGTGGCTGGTAAGCAATTGCACTGTGCATCATTTGTATATTCCAATCCTTTTATTATTACTTTTGCCATTTTATTAGTGTTCTCATTATTAGTTTCTTTTTTTTCTGTTCCATTAAACTGTTATTATCTAAACCCGTGAGTTTTACTTCTTTTCCCCAATTTTCTCCCCCATCCCACCGGGTGGAGGGGGGAGTGAGTGAGCGGCTGCGTCGTGCTTAGTTGCTGGCTGGGGGTAAACCATGACAAAGGAGCTTTTTTCCCCTCAATATTATATCTTCCTTTGCCATATTTTCCCCATACTGCTTGCTTTCTTCACACTTGACCGAATGCCCTTCAGAAAACCGCTTCCAGTTATTGTCAGAAAAACTATCTGTAATCCTAATGAGTTTATGGTCTGGGTTTTGGCATCAATACTATACAAACAATTAAACAAACAAACCCATAAGAAAGGATATAGGAATATGTTGACCAGTCTGTTGCTTCTTTGCTACTTGTGTCACTGTACTTCCTGTCCATCTTTAAAAAACACCTTTTAATCGTTAGACTTTCTGGTTTTGGGAGTGTTCTCTGTTGGCTTTTGGCCACTCAATTGTAATGATAAATCTTATCTGAAAACCATCTCTTCTGGCAGGTAAATTTGAAGAAAAAGAAGACAAAGTTCCAAAGCTGGAGCACGTAAATAACCTGGCATGCATGTGCAATGTGAATGTAGTATTGGACAAGAAAGATTTGCTTAGAATGGAAATGCTGGTTTTGGAAAACTTCAACTGGAACCTCTGTCTACCAACCCCAGCACACTACATTGACTACTACCTCTATGTGTCCATTGGTGAGAATGACCTTCACAACGGCTGGCCGATCACCTCACTGACTAAAACCAAAGATTTTCTGGAGAAATATGCGTATTATTTCCTTGATTTCTCAGTGCAAGGTAAGAGGCTTATTTCTGTGCTAGAATGATCTTCCATTTGGCAAAAGGCAAAAATCTGAAAGAGATAAGGGCTTTAAAGCTTGTCATAATATGGATTGCACAAAATTATCTGTGCAGAATGGATTCTCTTTGCAGTTATTTCAGATGGTAAATGGTACAGTGTTCCTTCCTTGCGCATAAGCCTCTTGTCTCTTTTCAGAAATCTGTAGATGAGATCAACTTTTTTCTTCAGCTTAGAACGCTAATTGGTGAGATTGTCAGAAATGGGGTCTAATTTTTGATCTGCCGTGGAGTATGAACTACTGTCAGTTGCAGACATGATATTATGCAGTTCAATGTCTGAATCTTTTTTAATGATATTTTTTAGAGAGTCCTGTGCTGCAAGACATGACATATTTAGAATGATGGGGCTTTTAATGATTTGGTTTGCAGCATCACTTCCAATATCTGCCTATGTGAGAGGCAGTGAACTGCAGCATCCTCATAAGCTAGGTTCAACACTAATGTAAGTATGTGTGTAATTGTCAATACCTAACTTTGCTTCAGGTGAGATCAGTCTACAAATTTCAGCATAGTCTATTTCATGGCTTTTTCTGAAATGAAAGAAACTACAGTGAAACCTTGATAGTAGTTATGAACAAGTGGTGCAGAAATCTTCAGGAAAGCTTGATCCAGTTTTGAGAGACTTTTTTCTGGTCATGAGTTAATACTCAGAGATGTGTGGAACAAAGTTGTAGATTTAATTTTGTCCTGTTTTGCCATGTATACACATAATAGGCTCACTGCAGTGATTAGTAAGAGTACAATTCTTGCTTTTTTTTTTTCTTTTGTAGATCACACTTTCCTCCATTTTCGTCCATCTCTGATTGCTGCAGCTTGTGTGTGCGCCTCACGTATCTGTATGCAGATTTCTCCTGCCTGGACAACACAGCTTGAATTGCTAACATGTTATTCCTGGGAACATCTTGCCCAATGCATCGAAATTATGTTCATGTAAGATCAGAAAGAAAGTAACCTGTTTGTCTCTTAGGAAGATGTTAATATTCCTTTTTTTTTAAGTAATTATTTAGCTAGAATTAAGATAGTACAATGTTACACCAGTAATCTCCATCTTCGGTTTGGGGAGAGTAATAAAAGGCAAAAATATCAGGTCACTTTATTAACTACTGTATTTTAACAACATTTGCAATGCAGAATGGAGTGCACAATTCAGTGTTCGTTATGTTTTCTTGTACTCATTGTCTATGTGATTGGATGGAAGCTTTTATGGATGGTGGTTGAAAGCTTTTTTCCCTTTGTTTTCTCATTGTACCTGCAATATACTTGCTGCAGAGAGACACCAGTGTATCTCTAACATCAAGAATACAGTAGGGAGACATTTCAGAACTATTCTTTGGGTTTTTTTTTCAGTAAAGGACATGACTGCAATGCATCAATCCTGGTCTGGTATGTGAGCACATACAGTCTAAATGGAAAATAAAAAAAGTTTAATAGAATGATTTAGGTTGGGAGTGATGGTGGGCCTTCTGAATTCCTACTTAAAGCAGGGCCAAATGAAGTTAAATCGGACTGCTTGGGGTGCTGTCTAGTCAAGTTTTGACTGTCTCCAAGGACGGAGACTTCCTAACCTCTCTGGCAGTGCTTCATCATTCTCATGATAATCAAAAGCATGAAAATATTTCTTCCTAATATCTAACAGGAATTTGCCTTGTTCCCTTATAGCTATGCATTTTAATACTCTGCAAGTACCTACACAGAGTGTTTCAAAATGTCTTTGTGTTGTGGACTTAAGGTTCCAAGATAACCAGCCCATCAGTAAAAATATACTTGTGATGCAAAATGATCCATAAACCTGATGTTAGTGTGCGAAGATCGCAGCAGGATAATTATAAATTAATTGTGGAAAGCAGCTGAGGATTACCACATACTGCTAGAGCCAAAAAGCTGATGATGTAGCCGGACTGGTGAAAACTTCGAGACACATGCAAGCTCTGTGAACTCTCTTTGATAAATCTTACTTATATTTTTTTTCAGATATTATGAGAATGACATCAAAGAAGCCAGTAACCTAAAAAAGCAAGTAACAATTCAACATCAAGAACAGGAAGCAGTGGAAAATCTGAGCCATCAAGCTACTACTCAAGTTCTCTTCCAGCAATCTAGTTATCACCCTTTAGCCCAGCATTCAGCTACACTTTCCCAGTTCCAGTCGCCAGTGCAAGATTTGTGCTCTGCTTATCGTGACTCCTTACAGGCCCACAGGCCCAGTGGTCTGCTTGCTGGGAGCGCTGACAGCTCACTGCACCCCTATGCAGCTCTTCAGGCCAGCCTTCGGCCATCTGCCCAGACTCTGCCCATCCAAACGCCCATTGCTGTGCAGGTAGCGTTAGGAACAGAGCCCAGACACTGCATTTCCACGGCTTATGGCAGTAGTTACTTCAGTGGTCATCACTCATATACAGCTGGGTGTTTTGATGGATAAATATTAACAGAAGAAAAAGGTGAACAGAAGCTGAAGAAGAGACCCTGTATGTGATACAAGATGTGTATCTGAAGGAACAGTAATCCTTATGACTCATTCAGAGGACATCGATCTGGATCCACCGATCACTGGAACCTGGGTGCCTTTCTGCCGAGGGCTGTACCTTTGGCTCTTAATGAGAGAGAGAAACACCAATCCATTAATACACCTCATTCAATGCCACTTTGAGAGGCATCTGCATAGAAACCCTGTGGAGGTTACTTCCTTCTAGTCTTCAGTTAGTGACTTGTCAGAGTTGGCTGAAAGCTTGTGTTGAAGAGTTATTTCAGGCTGGAGCATTTGTTGAATTTCTGGCCAAGTAGCAATGTACCTAGAGATGATGGAAAACACGGAGTGCTCTCCGTCTCTCCCAGTGACATGTCACTTGAACAGTGGCAGCTTACACTACTGGAAGCTTCTACTAAAATATACTGAAATTGGTATCAGTTAAATGCGAACTTAGTTTATGCAGAAATCTATGTGTAGGACACTTTCCGTTTTCTTTGAGCAGGAGTGATAGTTCAAGAGTAAGACTTCAGAATAAAAGGAAAAAAAGAAAAATGGGCCAGAAGACTATCAAGCATTTTTGACTTAAAATTCTCTTGGAATCTAAATGTGCTGCTGCTGAACGGAACATCACTCTGCCTTCAAGTATTTTAGAAACAAAACCAAAACCTTAAATCATCTCTTGGATCTTTAACGTTCTGCTGTTTTTGAGACTGGAGATTATTGTTAATAAAACTCTTCATGAGCTTTATCAGGGATTTACTGTTACTTGAAGAAATCCTCTTGGAAAAACTCTTGAAAGGTTCATTGCCTTCAGTTATTTCATCTTTTGAGCTCAATGACTTGTGGCAGTAGTTCAGGCTCAGGACAGAGGAACTGGTGTTAATGGGGGCAGAGATGGGGAACTGGTTAACGTTACTGTGAAATTAGAGTTTGATTGCAGTGCTAGACAATGCTGACTTAGTTTTTTAAATACCTTTTTAGCATTCTCTTGGAAAGTGTTAGCTGGTAAATTGAAGATCCTGTTGCCTCCACACCTACTGTCACATATCCAAAGGTTTCTCTCTCAAGGGAAACCAGGGATGATTGTTCAAAAAACTGTATAGGTGTTTTTTATGTTAATGTAGATATTTACAAGAAATGGACTTCTGCAAATGTGAAACTTTAGTTTTGATATATGCAACCACTATATTGTAAGTTTGTTGGAAGGCAGTACTCTTGGTTTGTCTTTTCTCTGAAGGTTCTCAGGACAGCAATACAAGTAATGTGCAATATGCTTTTACTGACTTGGGGCAATTTTTTCAAGTCATGTCACAGTGCTGTTTTAAATTATATTTTTAAGATAATTGTTTTTAAGGGTGTTTTAGGGTGGAGGGGAGAAACTGGCCTGCATGCTAATATGTGTTTGTGTAACTGTCTTCTGAGAATGCAACTTTTGGTATCAAGTTAATAATTTCTTCCATTCTGCAGGCTAGAGGAATCTTGTTTTATTAAAAAAAAAAAAAAGCAAACTGTAAATGAAGAGGCAGTACTCTTCAGAAATTAGTCTAGAAGTTTAGAGAACTTAGTTCATTTTCTGTTGGCTTTGTATTTATATTAAACTTTATTTTCAGAAGACTTTAGTGTATTTTTTATGTCATTTGACAGATGTAAAGAACAACATATATGTGGCGGTACTGTTGCATAGTTTTTCTTTTTTTATCATCCTTATAATTTGCATCATGTGCAGTGTTACACCTTGGACCGCCATCGTGCTTAATTGTGAAAATACTTGCTAAGTTCCCAGTGAAGGTTTCCAATAAACAAGCACACAACTGGAGTACCCTCTTTGTACCCTCCTTTTTTTTTTTTTTTTCCCCCCGAGTGTTCCTCCTTAGCTTCTAAGAGCTAGTCAAGAATGTATGTTTATACCTTAAAAATACTTGATCTGAGCACTCAATGTTTTACAGAAGAGTGGTAGGACAAATGTGATGGAAAGGCCTTGCCAAATAATAAATTGTGAGGGATTAGGCAGATAAGGAATTTGGCCACTGCACAAGAAAGGCAGAAAATGTGCAGAGACAAGGTAGGGACATAAACCAATATAAGAACAGATTGTTCCAGCTCACGTGGCCAGTGTGTCTTGGAGGTGCCATCTTACCTGAGGAGATTGAAAGGCTGAACAGGAGAATGCAGTTGTATGTTCAATCTTTCTTCTGGTAACTGTATTTTCTAAGAAGGAGTTGTCCATTGACTTCTAGGTTCTGATTGTGCTGTTGTATCATGGGTGGAGTTGGGGCAGATTGAGTCTCACAGCAGAACCTGACAGGGAAAAAGATTTATGAGAATTTGAGTTGGCCTAATACTACTTCGATTGACAGTTCTCTCCAAAATGCTTTAAGTGTTTGTGGCAATTCCACACATTTAATTTCTAGGAAATACTTTTTCATGTGACTTTTTTTTTTTTTGTGAAAACATACCTCCTCATGAAGAACGAATGTAGAATAAAGTTCAGCCAACCTAAGGACACTTTTCTGAAGACTTTTTGCCACAGTTACTTTTGGAGGGAGCTGCAGAGGTGCATGCAGAGCTGAGTTAATTTTTAAACAAATGGATGCAAAACTTCCCACCCTGTGATTGTGCTGTTTGATGCTGTCAGTTGCAGTATAGTCATAGATCAGAATTTTTACATGCTGATTAACTCGTACTTCTCTGGCAGACTTTGAAGTAAGAAAGGCTGCTGCAGAAGCAAATGCAGAGGAACATGGCTAGGAATACAAAATGGGGTATGGCACTAGTTACCTTCTTACATGGGACGATGTTGCAGATGTAACCAAACAAATGAGAAAGCTGATGTTAAAATTAGAAAAACTGTATTAGTGAGTCCTGACAAGAGCTACAGCAGGGATACAGGTGGAAAAAAGTCTGCTAAATTTGATCAGGCATCAAAGGTTAAAATGTATTTATTTTTAAAAAAATCTTATAGCTGTAGCTTGCTGCTTTTTTTAAACAGGAAACTACTACCATCTTGCTATTTGTGAGAAAGCCACAACTTGCTGTTTGCAAAGTTGTCAAAGCCACTGTTTGATCCTTTTGTTTTAGCAAGTTTTACACACTGTAGTGAACAATTTAAAGTTGATATAATGCTCTTTGATCAGTATAATCAACTCATCAGTAAAGCATACAGGTGGTATTTAATAAAATTTAGCTTAGTGGTATTTTTTTACTGAGAAGTCTAGATGCTGGCCCACATTTGCTAAACTGATGGATTCTTAGTGATAATTTTACATGGTTTTTTTTTTTTTCAAGGGGTGTGTGTTTTGCTCTCTACACTGCCATTTCAAGACAAGCCTCAAGAATGTTCTCCAGTTGAAAAGGCAGCAATGCTTTTTTTCCCATGTGAAAGCACCCCTTATATGCTTTCTAGAGAGCCTAAATATCCCACCCTTCCTTTCAAAGTATTGTTGTCTGTATAATGGGGGTTACTTGATCACATACAAAATGTGAAAACAAAATGTGCCAGTTGCACAAGACTAAACGTAGCTGCTTCTAGAACTGGAATTAGTGGTGGCTGGTTCCATTTTGTTTTCAATGCAGGGAACTGTTAGGTATCGGCATCATCTCTTTCAGAGCAGGTTCTTGTGGGTGTGAATGGTTCAGACAAAACACCACCATCCCCTAATTCTAGTATGAGCTTTAGTTTCATACAACACTTGCCCAGTGTCTACCTGTGCCTGACTCTACAGGTCATTCTGTGTAGTTGGTTAAGTGTTGAATATGATGGGTATATTCTAAATTCAGGTGTTCTAAGATGTAACATTATTTGCAGAGGAAGGTACTAGCTGACTTGAACTCAGATGAGTAAGCCTGAAGAGATCCCTTATTACTCCTCAGTATGACCTCATATAACTGAAGAGGCTGAATTTCAACAAAATTCTATCAGTAGATCTGTTTGTTGCAAGTACCAAAAGAATGTCTCAAGATTGAACAGGTTGCAGATTTGACTCATGTTTAATTAGAGCTCAGCATTATGCTTTGCCTTGGAAACAGAGTAAGTACTATATTGAGCAATACCTGGTCATAAAAAAAGACATGTGCAGTCTGTTTTGGTTGAATGATGGAGTCTGGATGAAGCCTTGTTGCAGCTGGAAAGCTTAGTAATCTCTACTGAGGAAAAACATAAAAATTAATTAAAAGCCTTTTTTTAATGCAAGATACCTGAAATGATTGGGATTACTGGTCACATACATAGTCTGATCAGAAAATGAATTTTTGCAGCCACAAGACACATGCCCTGTTTAGTTACTAAGTACCTTGTGAGGGCAAGGAGCTAGGTGGATCCAGAAAGCAAGATAGCTGGAAAAAGGAGTCTGAAAAGGAAAATGCTTTGTGGACCAGGTATTGGCCAGAAATGATTTGGAACAGTGAAGCCAAAAACTGTGTTATATTTCATTCCTATTGTGTTCAAGAAAACAGGTTTTCACACGCACTCTATGTAAATAACAGGATTGCACTGAGAAAATAAGATGCCATGTTTTCCTGCAGGAGTCTGTCTGTAAAACCTTACATGTTGTCTTAGAAATTTGGGTCAAGAGGAGATACTGATGGGAATGAGAAAACCGTGATAGTATGAAAGCATATCTTTTAATGAGTGATAAACTGACTTTCTCTTGTTTTCAAGCTCCTAAATTTCTGCCCTCCAACCAGCAACAGGGCAAAAGGCTTCATCCTGCATTTTGATGTTATGCTTTGGGCAGAGTATTGTCCTATTCTCTAGACAGAAGCTGAATAGAGCTTTTATTAAGTAGATAGTAGACAATAATTGAATATGCCAAGTATGTAGCATATCCTGAAATACTTAGACTGGACAGCATCATTAAATGCTTTGTTGCATCTTCTGAGTATTTGTCAGATCTTTAGGAATGGGGTTAAGCATTAATGTTGAGGAAAACATTACTCTGAAAAACAATTCTTCGTGTTTGTAATACAAAGAAAGAGAGAAAGACAATGAGCACTATTTTATTTATTTGTATTGTTGTTTGTTTTTCAGTGCACTGGAAGAGACTGTCTTTACTGCCTTAAGCGATCCTTTTGCTGGTCCTTTTGTAGACTACACCAGAAGTAGTAGAAATCTGGAATAAAGAAAAAAACAAAACTTTGGTTGAACAGTGTAATTAGAGCTTCAGTGTCACAAATGAAAAGACCTCCTGACTGGCTTACAGAATGTGTCCTTTACTGAAGCAACATTTACCCTTTGGTAGAAGACATATCTAGAAAATAAGCTGAATGTCCTTGTCAAGTCTGAAATACACAGTGCAAAAATATGCTTACACAAAAAGCACAACTTCTAAACAGGGGGTTAGGGATAACTTAAATGTATCCTGTTAGCTGTGGCTTCACCAACTCCAAGTTATTAGGGTTTTAGACAAGTGAGATAATTGTTCTCCAAAAGCAATAAATGATTGACACTATTACTTTTAGGGAGGGTAAGTGTCCTTTCTTGATTCACAGAGTAACTTACTTCTGGTTAGTCTCTGTTGAAGACGCACTCAGACATACATAACTGACACAGACGTAAGTCAATTCAGGACAACTTTTGAGAATCAGAAATCATGATGTTTGACCATCCTATCTGTTTTACAAGTTTTACTACAAGTACTGTAGTTTCAGTAATCTTCCAAAGGTATGTTGCCATTTTGTTGATAAACTAGGATACTGCTTGAAATCCAACCTCTTGTGTTTTGTTTTGGTTTTTTTTTCCTTTGGTATGACTAAGGAAATAGAGTTCTGTAAGGAGTTGCAGCTCAATAGTTTTCTAAGAATGAAACAAAGTTAATACGTGTTTCTATAAAGTTAAGTAGTAGGTGAAAAGTTTTATATATATTATTTTCTATTCTTGAGGCATAGGCACAGTGAATACAGTTGAAGACATAGCAGTTCAACATTCCAGTCTTACA